TTTTTTTTTGAAGATGTAGTTGTAATATTTAGGAGCGAGAAAAGAGTGAGCAGGAACACGTCTCTCAACCAACAGCAGCATCAGCACCTTCTATTACAACTACATCAGAGCTCGACGCTGCTTCGAATGCCACTAATCCTACTCAGTCTCCTTCTACATCCTCGACTCCCACTGTGAATGCAAAACGTCCAAAAACACCGAACGAGCCCCCACCAGGAAGTTGTCCAGAGCGACCCTCCTCTCGAAGGGACTCCTTGTCGCATGCAAAATGTAACTTTGAACCCGGGCCTGCTGCATCAGAAACGAGCGATGTGCTGGGTGCAGTTACTGCAGAGAAGTTGGCCATTGCCAACGATCAGGCTGTGAAGGTTATTTTTTAATGATTGTTTTTCTAAAATGAAACCCAGCTATTTGAATAGTTTTGTTTGGCTTTCAGGTTCTTCTTAAAGGGTCTCTAGCCTCGGACCCCATTCTTGTGGATTTGTCAAACTCGCATATCAAATCAGCAAAGAGCAGTCCGAGGAAACGAGTAGAAGCGAGTTTCAGTTTTCAGTTTCGTTTTGGAGGTTTAGGGTTTTATCAACATAATCATAATTTTCAGAGGTCTAAAGATTCGGTGAAGATAACGAAGGAACCCATTGTTGATGATTTGAAGTCACCACTAACAGTCAAACGAGAGGTAGTAGTTGTCTTTACGTTGTTACATGTCCTACGTTGACTTCGTCCTGTTTTCGAAATACTTGTTACCTCTTGCAATCATTTCCATTTTTAATTTTTTTTTCCCATCAATAGCCACCTATTTAATTTTATTTTATTAATTTGAGTTGTTTTCAGCTTTCCAAGTACTTCCATTGAAAACCTGTAATTGTACTCCTACTATTTTTTTCATTTAGCCTTCTCCATCTATGCTGGTCCAAAGCGAACTCGAGCGTCCCTGCGAAGTTCCAGTAAAGGTTGAAGTCGAACAAACTTATGACTCGTCAGACCATATTATCAGTCCACCTTCTCACGAAGAATTAGCTGTGAAAATCGAACCGAAAGAGGATGTTGATTTGCACGGAGGTACTGAAAGAGAAAACGCTGCTGGCGAGAAGTCCATACCTATGGAAGTAGACAGTGATTCCGAGAATGGTGTCGCTGTCCCAAGCTTATCTGCTTCTATGAATGCTAAAAACGGCGGACTCGATCATACAACTATGGATTCTATGAGCGAAGGGCTGTCTGGAATCGGAATAGAAGCATTATCTGGAAGGGCTCATGTAGAAACTGGAACTCTGGGAAATGATGGTCCACTGAGCCCAATAATCAAAGTTGAGAGGGTTGCAGCGGGAAAGGAATCTTCTCTTAGTGACTATGGTCGCAATAGTACTAAAGAAGAGGAAAGGAAGAAACCAGATATGAGTCTCCAAAAGGCTTTATCAGTCAAGCACAATGCAATTGATGACACATCTTCATTGAATGCTGAAAAGAACGAAAGGAGAATCGAGCCAGTTGAGAAGGATGCCAGAAATAGGATGAATGGTACAGCACAGAAGAGCTTGCAACAGAAAACCACCACGGCAACAGTGAGTAGTCGATCGGACAGTGAGCAACGCATCAGAGAAGCTGTCAAAAACGTTGAAAGGCTAAAACCTCGCTCTCAAGGAGGATCTTCATTGTCGGCTAAGGTATGATTTTTTTTTCTTAATTAGTCCTATTTTTGGCTTTCCATTTGCTTTTAATCAGGTTTTCTTGACCATAACCTTTGCTTTCATCTCCCTAAATTCCATTCTATGTCAGTCCTCGACTCCGCCTAAGGACTCTCGCACACATTCGAAAACGCTGAAGAAGGAGATTGTTGCTTTGGAACATCCATCTACCTCATCTAGTCCTCCCACCTCAGTGTCAAAGCGACCGAAAATCAAGGTGCGTCTCACTTTATTTGCTAATATGGTACTAAAACAGTTTTTCTTTCCTTATTTTCTTATCAAAAAGTTGAAGTATTTTGTCATCAAAAGCTGATGTTGTGATTAATTCATCTAAGATCGCGAATTTCTCTTCGCTTTTTT